CTTAAGTGTATTTAGGACAAATGTTTTTTTATTGCCTATACTTCAAGGGCGACGCCTAACAAAAACTCACATAAGACACTTGCAAACATGGAGACAAACTCGAATGTGCCTGCCCATTGTATGCTAGGACATACGAGCAAATGTGATGTATGCAGCCTCATACAAGACCACACCCACTGCAAATGAAATTACTCCTTACAGCCAAATTTTGAAATAACATTTTACTGTTGTTTTTACTAGGCCATCAAACCACTTACTTGGAAGCACCGCGATGTAATAAAAGCCTGAAAGTGAGATGAGTTTACACTCCAAAGCATGGTTTTAGGCGCGTTGCTGGAAAACTGATAAATAAAAAAATTGAATGGCGTCGTTTAGTCTGAATTTTTGCGTGTGTGCCTTGCATACTATTAGGCGCATAATAAAAATATTACCCCTTCCACAAGTCTCTAACTTTGCCAATTCACGAAGTGTTCGAAACAGTTTCTAAATTACTTCCACTTCATTTTGTCAACTTGGGCTTTATTGTATAAATAAGTATATAAAATTATGTATATTAATTCATCTATAGATTTATATTTTTATGCTTTAATTAAGCAAACATACACTCTTTCAAATGAATTTGACATGATTTCATATGTTCAGTTGACATATACAAAATAAAAATAAAAATATATACAACAACAAATAAACCAAATTTAAACAGAAACTAAATTTATGCTCCTTATTAAGCACAAATACAAAGGACTTGTAAGGACAACATTTTCAGGAACAGAGAAAAATATGAAAACGTGTTGAATTGGTTTCAGATACTTCATTATATTCCATATATATGTATGTCCTTTGTTGGTTTTCATTTATACAATTTAATTTTTATAGCCATAGAAGTTGGCTAATTAGTCCTTTTTCTACAAATTCATTGCTTTTCCGTTTTATTTATTTTAATTGAGTTCCCTTGGAGTGCAAATGAGCGCAAAGTGCGTAGCTTTTTAAATAAATTATTTGTATAATTAATTTTTTTCCCAAAAAAATATATCCTAATTACTTGCTATCTACCTTTGAGAGACAAAAAAACCTTTTGCTTATGAAAATAAACAATTAAGAAGTATACCTAAAACTCTTTTGGGATTTTATTTTTATATAGATAAACCTCAGTAAAGTGTGAAGGTTATTTTTAAGAATTATATTACAATTTTCAACATATTTTTCTGAAACCGATCTAATTAATAAATAAATTAATTAATTATTTAAAAATAATTAATAATTTATGCCGACGTTCAAAGATATTCAAATTTCAAGAATTTATGAATTCCAAAATATTTATCGATAATTGCAGTCTTAAATAAAATATATTATAGAATTTATTGAAATTTGGCTGATCATACAAAGTTGTTTCGAGTATTGCCAAGTACTCATCAACAATGGTCTTAGGAACCCGATTAGTCATGGCTTCTAATTTGATAAGCACGAGTTTTAAGCCTGGCACTTGCAGTTCAAACAAATTATATACGGACCGTAAACTAATTAAGAAATTCAAATATTTCCTAAGACCACTGATGATGAGTAATTGGCAATACTCGAAACAGCGTTGTCTTTTCTTTGCTATTCGAATCCGTCTAACTTTCAAATAGTTTCTTTTCGTCATAAACACGCAAGAAAAGAGTAAAAAATATTGTAAATATATTATATTTATTTTTTTGACTCCAAGTTCTCAATCTTCAAAAGCCAACAAAAAATTTTTATTTCATTGATGACCATAGATGACTTGATATGGAAAGTGTCGTAGCAAACCGTAAAAAATAGTAGAAATTGAAATGAACACTGGACTGACTACAAACGGTGTGGAGCACTGTACCATAGTATAACAAAATGTCTCTAACTAGAAGAATGACACTAAGGGATGCGGCATCTAGCTTAGTAATTTTTTCCCATTCTAAATCAAAATCAGACAGTCAAAGAATGTAATTCTTTGACTCTTCTGCTTCAAAGCAAAGCCGATATTCTATCTACTTAAACCAATCCATCATGTTGAAATTGTAATGAAAGCGTGGTGACCCGTCATATAACCTTCTTACAACTTTAGCTCTATTCTACTATGGATCGTAGTTTTAAGGCGGTTAGTTTGAGTATTACACTAATGTTGATGTCTTTCGGTTATTATCAAATTTTTTTATAAGAAATTTAAGTGTAATCCAAATTGCAAGAACCAGCTAATGTGATTAAGTTCCTATTGTCTTCACGTTATAGTAATTTTTCTCAAGATTAGCGTTAAAACTTCCTATAACATAACTTATGTTTCAAGTCTGTAAAGTGATATTAGTCAAAAACAGTCAAATAGAATTATATAGTAAAAACAACTACTCAATTTACAGTTTAAAACAGCTTATAAAAAGATTTTTTGCTTCTTTGAAGATGTTTTTTGTCACCAATTATTGGATGGTACTACTTTTACCAACCAAAATTGTATTAAGATTTAAAATTGTATTTAAGATTACTTTAAACAAGCTTTATTTTTATTATGCTTTAAAGCAAAAAGTTAGGAATCGGGTTGCCATCTATTTGCTTTTTATTTTATTTCTGTAAAAAGTTTATTTAAATAATTGTTTAGTGTTTAACCTTTCTGAAGACAATTGATCCATAAACCCACCCGTAACATATTTATAGTTTCAAAAATATGTTGCCCCAAAACATTTCCTGCTAATAAAATGGTTTCATTTTCATTGATTCGATTAGTTCCATCAGTTCCAATCCATATTTTGTTTTTCACTCTGTTATTGTATCTTTTATCCCTCTGGTACATTTTCCATCTACAGCACGATTTCTTGTGTCTTCAGTTCTTAAGGCTTAAGATGAAAAGATATTTTCATAAATGCATAAATGCATAAAATCTGAATCCAAATGAAGAATCAAAAAGAATACTTCTACATATTTGATAATATTTTATGGGATGAATATACCTGTAAATGGTATATAATTTTATGTTGATTTAATTATTTGTCTCAAAATTATATTCATTACGTTGGCTGGTCATATAATAAAACTGAATAATAAACTTAGCTATCGTCATAAAACTTATTTTGAATATATGAAGTAATATATAAATCTTGATCATTCGTTTAATAAATTAATTTTTTAAATTCGTTGGAAATATTTACAATTTTATTACCAATTAATCAAAAAATATGAAATATTTTTTTTTTTAAAAAAAACCTCAAATCAGACAAAAAATAATTTGTCGCATGAACTCTGAGTCTGAGTCGCTTAAAATTCCCGCGATTGCAATTGCATCCATCGTCTACTCCATGAATGCAGACGTCGTTGGAATCTTTAATATGAGTTCACAAATTGCATTGCATGCTGCATGCATGGCACTGAAAAAGGACAAAAAATTTAAAATCCTTGAATGTGAGCAACATATTGCAAACTTACAATTTCCCAATATGCCATGTTGACAGCAATTTAATCTGAGAATGATACGAAAGGAAATGCTGGATTCACACATTCCCTGCTGCAAGTAATTGACGTATGCAAAACCAACTTTCCGAGTGGTTTTTTTATTGAGTTTGTCGAAAATATTTTGCGCTTACCTTGAATTTTCAACATTTCCGGAATGTTTTACTTTGCCTTTGCCGTTGCCGTTGCCGTCATCGTTCCCGCTACCGTTGTTGAGTACCGGCGCGTCAGCGTGATTTTACTAATCGCGGTTGGTAGCAGTGTTTGCCACCGACAAGTCGTCAACTTCATAGGTACGAGTTAACTATGTATAGCTCAACATTTTTTCAGTGACGGCAATGAGATACATTAAGACCGAAAAGTTTTCGGAAATTCTCATTTAAAATTCGCGCGCTGTATATTTTTCGATATTTTAAGTTTATGTAGT